TGATGAGAGGAAGTTGAAACTTGATAAGATATTGGTTTTCTGGAGAACTATTCGTCATAGCTTGCCTCGTGAAGTACTGTGGTGAGGCTCAAGAAGGAAGCATTGTTTAAAAAAAGGTATTATCATTAATAAGGAGGGGAAGTGGTTCGAATATAGCCTCCTTTGAAACCCTAGAAACACTGAGCACTCACTTTAAGTTGGTAGTTAGTATCTTGCTCTCTAAGCAGTTTCGTAGTATGACCATAAGAAGTACTTTTTCGATTCCAGCGGTGTCGGGTACGCTAATCCCAGGACGTCATAAAGAAAATTTCCTAATTTTGTAATTCTGTTCCGACAGACTCTTGAGTGACCTACAGCTGACATTTCCCACCCAGAAATCCTTGACTGTCATTTGGTGACGGATTTTTTTTTACGCTATTTTGTGGCTCAGTCAAGGGCATTGCTAACATTTTATAAATAAGCTTGATTTGTGTGCTTCGCTAGCTCGTATTTTCTTGGTGCTTGTAGAGTATATTCTCTACGACTTATCATGACTTTTGTTAACAGAGCTTGGAACAGTGGATTAGAATAACATATGGTGTCACTGTATCGTTAATCTTCGTTCCGTTTGCCGAGTAAGGTGAACTCGCAATGAGATTCAAGCATATCAGTTGGCGAGCATAGTAAGCAGTCCTTAAGCTGACCATTGATATGAGGATACGCGTGATGGCTGTCTTTCAAAAATATTTATTTGGCCTCGTCGTGGATATTGCTTCTAAAAATGTACCTCCTCATTTGTTCACTCACCAGTTATTCCATCACTAGTAGTATTGATAGCAATAAGACTGGTCAATGGGAAGCTGGGTCCTTACTTACTCTTCCTCTGAAGATTCGATACACATATATAGATATTACGAATTCGTCCGACGCGTTAATTAATAACTCTTATAATTCAGAAAGACTGACAATTTTTTTTAGAATCCAATCTTCCTTCTTTAGGAATAAAGCTCAAATCTATGGGAACTCAAGTGATCTTCCTAAAGCCAGTGGAAATTTCAGAAGAAAACCACACTATCAGTCACGTGTTAACGACAAAAGCCACGCAGTTGACACAACGTTAGGGAACCGAATAAAAGTACAAGCTGTAAGCTTAGAAAACGTGACTTTTATTATCATTCACTAACTCCGTTTTCTTTTTTCATTTACACAGACGGTTGTTTAGTGATCTGATCAATCCATATGTAAAGTAATTTAGGTGCTTTCTTGATATTAAGCAATGGAACTACCATTAAGCCTTATGGATAAATATTTTGCATTCTTCACGATGAATATGGCTAGGTAAACTTCCAACATAGTAATAACATTGAACTCCTATGGCAAGTCAATATTTATAAAACAGGTTCCGTAACCAGTTTCTATTATCATCCTTGTTAATCTAAAGTATGTTTACTACATAGACAAATTTGTGATCTGAGTATAAAACAGTGGACTAACTGCTTGTTGGTGTTAGTTGCACGCTGATTTAATCAATCCACAGAATAAAGTGACTTATTCTTATTCCTGCGGACTCGTTACCTCAGGCATAAGCAGCAAACTTCTTAGTCTAACAAGCTATGAAAATTCGGTTTCAGTTTAACAAGAATCGGGACTATTCCCCCTTACACATGATATTTATTCTGTAAATCATAACTCCATAACAGGATTTCAATGCCAGAAACATGAACACATATCCAAATAGATCAACAAAACAAATCCCAAGTAATTGTACACTGTGAAGTATGCCAACAAACAATTGTATATTATAGACATAGACGTTTATGAAACTATTCATTGGCCAAAATCGGAATCTGTAAAGTATCGTTTCATTCATATAACCAAAATGACAATACCATCATAATGTCGTTTTTTAATATGGAAAGCTTATGTAACATTTAATTTATGAGAGAAATAAGCCTAACATAAGATAACATTTCAATTATATGTAGAGAAGGGTGTGCTCTCAGTTGACAATTCTATACACATAGAAAGAACCCCGTTACTCACTGATCTCTAAAAGGAAATGTTGAGTTTGAAGTTGGAGAGAGAGAGAGAAAGAGAGAGATAGGGAAAAAAGGAAGACAGAATACAAATTATTGATCATTGAAATAAATTTAAAAAAATTAGAAAATAACGCATGAATATGACGAAATCCGATTTGAAAACTGGGAAATAAATTTGTAGGAATTTATCTTGAAACATATAATATTGATGAAAATTATGAATGACAATTGCGTTTTGTTAAAAAATATGAATTTTGATCTCTTTAAAATGACAGAAACAGTTGAAATTAACGGCGCGATGTACCACCAAAACCTATAATAAATGGATAGAAAGAAACACGAATTATTTACTAAGCATTATTTTGCGATACTACTGTAAGATACAAACTGAGGTTTGGATTGGGGAATAAGCTTCTACGTAGGTTAGATACGCGCTATTGCCCAGTTGAAAACCGAAACAAGTGATTTAGTTAAATGGCGTTCTGATATTCGTCATTAATAAAAATATACATCATTGCCCAAACAAATATTACCGCTCAGCTATTCCACCAACAATTGTTCAATTAATCAAATCAACAGCGACAGATAAATGTTATTCTATCCCTCCTCCTGGATAGATCTGATTCGTTCGAAAGATAATATTTGGTTGCTTTGCAACACACAGTGTTTCAATTCACAATCAAATTGCACAATTCTAGTCCACACAACCGACACAATCAAAAGAGGAACAAATCAAATATGGCAGTCGCCATAACTAAGTGTCAACTTAAAAAACATAATACAGTTCAGAAAGAAAAATAGAAACTCAGAAAAGGTATAATAAGTAGAAACTATAATAAAATACAAATTTTATCATCCCAAAAGGAATTGAACAGACTAAAAAAAATTTACAACTGAAGGAATCAATAAGAATGAATTACAAATGTGTATACAACATGGAGGGATTTTTCGCAAACAAAGCCTTCAAAAAAAATAGATCTTACACTACTACTATTTGGCAGAATATTTAAATAAATAAACTACTTAATAATAAGCACTAAATTACCCGACGAGATGTGAGTTTCCGGTGACGGAGTACGTGAACGATGCTGATGATGAGTGAAATGCGTATCACACGTACTAGAATATGAATCAGAAAATAGATGCCCATTTCGAATACATGATTCTTCTTCCGTATAAATCGGTACAGTTCGTGAACAACCACCACCACGATTGGTGTTTGTTCTAGAACCCATAAAATAGCCGCCAAGAAATCCAGCACCTGCAGCTAAACCATTCGACAACCATGAACTGGATTGTTGCTCTGATTTATTCCAATTCCATCGAGAATGTGACTGTGGTGAGCCAATGACCGTTGATGTCCAACCATATTCTGGTGGTGGGGCTGATGGAGTTTGACGTCTTCGCGTTGTAGAATAATCTTCATGATCTAGTGAAATGAAACAAGAAAATGAATTGGCTGCACACTGAAAAAAGAAACTATGTTCAGTTTGTTTAAACAAATCAAAAACTTTCAAACAATGTAGTTAGATTGAAGAATCTGTTAGTCACACAGACACAAAGTATAATACAGTACGAAGGATTTTATTTCAACCAATATGGTCTCTCATGCTGTTAAGGGTATGAGGGCGGTTGTAACTTCCCGGCTGCCCACACCGTGGAAGGTTGTTTCTTGAGAGGCTTGAAAAGGAAGATAGATTAGTGTTGGTCTTGGGGACCTGGATGCGTGACTGCAGAGTCCAAGGGACGACTGCTTGAGGCCGGTCACGCACGGCCTTCTTATGAAAGGATTTTCGAGTATTAGCTCCGCTCTTAAAGGCTCTTAGTTGGCACCCTTACCGCCGGAGACGGAAATCCGTGAGGTAGGGTGAGGTGTGACATTTTAAGGGTCGACGTTTTCTAACCCTTCCTTCTTTGTGAGAAAGTAGCATCGCTGCATATGCTGGTTGTCCGAGGGAAACACCTTACTGCTGTCACACCTCACTGCAGTCAGCAGTACGACTTCGCCCTCAGACCTTGAGTAGCTGCTTTTAGTCTCATCGTTCTCCAATCGACCTGCCTGGCATGGTAGAACCTTCAGGAACATATGTTCCAGCCAGTATAGCTCGGCTGGGTCATCACGATAGTCAAGCCCGACCACCACGTCAAGGTAGCAGCTACAGTCGGGACGAAACCACATAATCATCAACTCACACTTTAATGACTTTAAACGATTTGTGCCATTTTTTGGTTTGGCCACCCCCCCCCAAGCTTCCCTTTCAACTTACTTTAACATAACAAATCATCAACTCGTATTGATGACTAGTTTTAGAATAAATTCTCCGCAGTTCTCGAGTAGAAGTGATAACTTTTGGAAACAGCTGAATCACAAGCGCAACGATAACACACTGATAACAGTGAAAAACAATTGCAGTACATGATAAGTTGACTGAAATCAGTCAATCAGTCCAGCTACAACGTAAAACTTGGTTCAAATTGCCATACCATACCAGCACACAGATATCGAATCTGTCAGTAGAGATAGTAGAAGTATTGGCTGCAATGGAGAAGATTAGGGTTCGAAGAAACTATTCTAGAAGTATAATCGAGTGAAATAAACTTGAAAAGAGGAAAAAAGGTTGAGAGGAATCCAAAGGATTAGAATTTGAGAGAAGACAAAGAATATATGCATCTGTGCCACTGCAAACGATTTTCAGCCATATCAGTCAAAGTCAGTAACCACTGGATACCATTGCCTCGCAGATCCCAACCTCCTGGTAGTCTACTCCTACTAACAAGGCTCAGTCCAGTTGTCCGTAACTTCATGGATTTGTGCCATATTTTGGTTTGGCCATCCCTAGCTTTCTTCCAGCATACTCATATACATCAGACAATACCGCTCGTCGAAGCAATCAGTGGTCAGGCATACGCAACACAAGTCCCAACCACATCATCAACTGATGAAGATGAAACTACTTGATCTGCCAACCTTACCTAATAACCGTTTCTTGACACTAGTATAGTTTACTCAATTGTTCCAGGATAGACGAGCGATAGCTGCTTCCAAGACAAAGATGATCAAAATGTCAACTAAATAATTCTTGAACATTCATTTTTGATCATTAGAAATATATATGTTCACGTTTCAAATCAAGTGCGCGAATGTTGTGGTGTACTGTTGAACAAGTTTGAGTGACGAATGTCACAAACTGTTTTTTTTCATAAAATTACCAACAATAATTTCTTTTACACATTTGGAATCATCAATCAATCATTGTTAGACCAAAACCATTAGAAACCTGGAAGTATCACCGGACGGGCGTTTCGTCCTGGTATAGGACTCATCAGTGGCAGTGCGCATCCACGACTCCTGCTCCTCGCAGGATTCGAACCCGGGACCTTCGGCAGTGTAGGCGAACGCCTTACCATCGGACCACTGGGCCGGCTGATATCCAACGGTATTAATGTCTAACTCTGATTGATGTAGGGATTTTTTGCGCGACCTCACACATTTGTCTGTGGTAGTTACTGCCTACACCCGACAGGGATGAACTCCATTGGTCACGTCTTCTCAACCAGAACTCCGAGAATTTCCTCTCGAAACCAGTCACTGTTACGATATTTTGGGGCAGAGTTTTGGAGGTTTGTGTTTCTTTTTAACTGGTTTACACATTTGAAATCATCAAAAACATTTTTTTTTCTGATCAGTCATTTCAAAATTAAAGTAAACAAAACGATTTATCAACACATTAGTAGGACAATATTAATTTCTTACTGGTGTTCGTTTACCAATCAATCTATTTTTATTGATTGATCTAGGGAATTGGTGGAATTTACTGTTGATTAGGTATAATAATTAGGTCGAAATTCAATGAAATTCTGAACTTGTGATCGAATAATAATAATTATAATAATAATAATAAATCAACTTTGAACGGAAGAAATGTTAATGGGAACTATTTATCAGGAATACGATTACGTCGGTTAGTCAGTTGGAGCAACGTAGAACTGTTACGCCTGCATGTAAGCACGTCAACTTGATATGCTTGAACTATTACGAGTTTACCTAGTCAGAAAACGAGAGAGAGGATCGAGGATCCGGGTACACGACATGCTACTCAAATCCGATTATCCCAACCCCCATCTAATAAAAATAAGAAGACTTGAATATGAAGTAGAACCTGTATTCTACAAGCATCCAGACAGTACGAGGTGCTAGTCCAGAAGAGAACCAGGATCTCGGACTAGGGATCCGGGAACGGGACATGGTCGTGGTAATAAAACGTTACACATAATGCGTATTTATACAATTTGGTCAAATAGGAAACAGCATCGAAATCTGTGACATTGGCAGTTAAGACGACCAATAAGAAGCAACATTTGAAGTGACATTGATAATCAGGACAACCATAAAATTGACCAGTAAGAATTAACCAATAGGAATTGACCAATAATAATTCTCTTAGGATATTGGATGAATATCCTAACATGTACAAACATCACAGTTTAAATTACCATATCGCATTAGCACAAACAGATGAATGTGTCAGTCCAAATCTCACAGTAGTAGTAGTGGCAATTGAAAACATTAAGGATAACCAGATATGATTAGAGAAATTGCAAATCAGTGAAATGAATTTACAAAGTAAATAAAAGGTTATAAGGAATTTAAAAGCTCAATATTAATTAAGTGAAAGACAGTCAGTCAGTCAGTTGCAACGTAGAACTTCGTACGTATGTACATAAGTTCAGGTAGCCATACCACATCAGCATAGAGACAACTGTCAATTCGAATCCCATAGTGGTAGAAATAGTAGAGGTATTAATGTTAACAAAGAAGACTAGGGTTCGAAGATATTATTTAAGAAGCATAATTCAGTTAGATAAGGTTAGAAAGACAAGTACAGGTGATGACGAATGCAGAAGATTAGGATTTGAGAGAGCTCAAAGAATGGATGCACTTGCGCCATTCAGCCAAAGTCTCTAACCACCGGTTACGATTGCGACACAGATGCCAATCAGATTTGGAATAATTCACCACAAAAGCTAATAACAATACCTGACTGGATAAACAGAAAGTGGTTTGGGATATGCATTTGTAACCTAGTAAATTTCAAAAATTTGTTTATGAGGCAAACCTGATGGTATGTTCATGTTGTAGACTTGAAAAAATGAATCAGTATCATAGTCCATGTATCAGAGGCCTGTTACCCCCAATGAAGCATAGGCCGCCCACCAGTTCCCTCCAACCAACTCTGTCCTTGGCTTCCCTCTCCAGTTCTGTCCAATGTTTGTGTCTGGCCAACGAATCCGAAGTATTTTGCGTAGACAACTGTTAATAAACACTTGTATCTTCTGGATGATGGCTTTCGTAGTTCTCCAAGTTTCCACTCCATACAGTAGAACTGTCTTGACATTTGTATTGAAAATGCTGATTTTGGTTTTGATTGAAAGTTGTTTGGAGTTCCAGATATTTTTCAATTGTAGAAATGCAACCGTTGCTCTGCCGAGCCGCGCTCTCACATCTGCGTCGGATCCACCTTTCTCGTCGATGATGCTGCCCAGATATGTAAAGGTGTTAATGTCCTCGAAGGCGTGTCCATCAAGAGTGATTTGGTTGGTGCATGTTGTGTTGCATCGGAGAATTTCGCTTTTTCCTTTATGTATGTTGAGACCTACTGCTGCAGAGGATGAAAATTTCCTTCAATTACCAAACATTGAAACACAGAACAGATGACGTAAAACTACGTAGAATGTTGAAGACTCACGTAGCTCAGCAGTAGCGTCTTAGACTGAGGTTAGGTAACACAGGTTAGTTATATATACAGAGCAGTTGTCTCTTTGAGACGTTTAATACTCTTTACAGATTCGTGCTAACTGATAAGGGATTTAGGAGACTAAGACTATCTTCAATGATTAAGCATATTTAGTCAACTAACCAGTCATAAGCAACATAGAATGTGGTACATGTGTGTGAACCGGTTCAACTTGACATAGTCCCATTAACTTGATAAAAAGAAATTGTCAAGACAAATTTCACAATAGTTGACGTAGAGAGCAGTATTAGTAGTAACAGAGAAAAAAATTAGTGATCGAAGATGAAATAAGAGTTCAAAAGTAATTTAGAAACTTAAGATTCAAAAGAAAGATAGAAGCTTTATGTGCCTGTGCCATTCTGAATGATTCTAAACTATTTCATTTATTCTTCAACTATTAGCTATGTTAATGACACCAATCACAGGCCAAGTAGTTTAAACTTAACTACATATGTCAGTTAGTTCAACAATCAATATCTTTATGTATTGGTTTGGTTACTTCACGATCTCAACATATATATATATATATATATATATATATATATATATATATATATATATATATATGAGCAACAGTACTTCAAAAAGATACTACCTTCTCGTTGGGTCCAACATTGAGACGACTTTGGGGGTCACCAGGTCAACAGATGTTTTTCCTTATGCCTAAAGTTAGCGTTTGCTAAGAATAGGCGGTTTTCTGAGCACAGTTGCAACAGACGGTCAACATTGTCTGTTTTCTGAGCCGCGACACTATAACATCCACCTAGGTGTCTTTCCTGATCACTCAGTCTACCTACTTGAGCATTAAAGTCACCAGCCATCATTATTATATCAGAGCGCCTAGCTTTTTGGAGGAGATTCGAAAGCTTTCTGTAAAACTCATCTTTAACCTAGTCTGAACTGCAGTCAGTGGGGGCATAGACAGATACGACGAACAGGCAATGGCGAGTGTCCCTATCTTTCCGAATGCTTACTGTCCTGTTTAGTAGGACAGTGCACACAGAAGTGAAGGGCGAACCTGAAAATGTCATACCACACCTTACCCCACGTCTGTGGTGGTAAAGCCATTTGAAGAGCGAAACTAATACAGTAAAATCTACCAATAAAAAGGCCGTATGTGACCGGCTTCAAACAGCTGTCCCATGGGCTCTGCAGTCAACTTATTCTTCGAGTTCCTCAAGAAACATCATTTCAAGATGTTGGCAGTTATCCCGGGGGCACCAACCAGAGAGATATTTTACATCTGCAAACATGGCTCAGTCCACCTGTCGGTGACTTTATGAATTTGTTCCATATTTTATGGTTTGGCCACCGCTGGCTTTCTTCCAACCTACCCATCCCCCCGCCTATACCAGGCAGTCGGTGCTTGGGCATTCGTAATACATGTCCCAAAACATTTATAATTTATTCATATTACTTGGTCTAATATATACATATTGTTAGGATATTCATCTAATATCCTAAAAGAATTATTATTGTTTAATTCCTATTGGTTAATTCCTACTGGTCAATTTTATGATCGTCCTAGATATCAATGTCACATGCTCCAATGTTGTTTTTTATTGGTTGGCCTGACTATCACTGTTACTTCAAATGTTACTTCCTATTGGTCGTCGTAACTGCCAATGTCACAGACTTCGATGCTGTTTCTTATTCGACCAAATTGTATAAATACGCATTATGTGTAACGTTTTATGACCAGGATCCGGACCCGGATCCCTAGTCCGGGATCCTATTTCTCTTCTGCACTCGGACATCGTACTTTCTGGATGCTTATAGAATACATGTTCTACTTCATATCGAGTCTTCTTATTTTTACTCAATATGGGAGATGGGATAATTGGATTTGAGTAGTATGTCGTGTCGCCGGATCCTCGCTCTCATTTTTCGACTAGGTAAACTCGTAATAGTCCAAGTATATCAAGTTGACGTGCTTACGTGCAGGCGTAACATATATATATAAGGAAAATAGGAATATTAAATTGAATTCATTATATAAAACCTACCATTTAATATTGTCTCTTCATATGAAGGAGGCGGTGGTCGTTGTGAAGAATCGAATCCACTGGATGGAATAGATTCATACGGGAATGCAGGTCTATGATAATCATTATGTAATAGTGAAAATAGAATAAGGGGAGTAAAATCAATAATAGTAATAAATCTTTATTGACAATGTATTGAACATTATACCCTAACTTTCATTGATGTTCATACGAATATGTATGTCAACCAGTCAGTCAGATGCAACGTAGAACTTCATACGTAAGTACATCAGTTCATGTTGCCATACCACATCAGCACACAGAGATGTAATTGTCAATTCAAATCCAATAGTAGAAGAGGTACTAAAGATATTAGAAGTAATCGGAGAGGTTAGGATTAGAAGATATTATTCAAGAAGTATGATTCAGTGAGATCAGTTTAGAAAGACAAAACTAGAGGGTTTGAAGAATCCAGAAGATGAGAATTTGAGAGAACACAAAGAATAAATGCACCGGCGCCATTGTGAACGATTTTGAGCCATGTCATTCAGTGTATCTAACCATCGATTATTATCATCTCGCGGACCCCAACCAGGTAGTCGACAATTACGGACATAGCTCAGTCCGCTTGTCAGTGACTTCATGGACCTGTGATATGTTTTGGTCTGGCCGCCACTAACTTTCTTCCAACCTATAAGTCAGTCAGTCAGTCAGCTACAACGTAGAACTTGATACGTACGTACATACGTACGTACTTATATGTACATCAGTGTTCAAAGTGTTATTACCACAACATTGGTACACATACAGATTGAATTAGCAGTAAACGTAGTAGTAATCATTTAAGTTGTACATAAAAATTTATATGCATTACTGACATACAGGTGTTTTAAAAACACATTCGATGTGTATACACAAACACCAGTGAATGTATTTCAACTTAATTATATTTAAACAAACAATTATTTAGTACAAATGAACACTTTAATATTTATGTGATATATAAATTGGTGTATGGGCTAGGATACTACTGTGGTGCGCGCTACTTATAAGTACTATATGACGCGAGTGTAAACGTAATGTCTGGCAGCAGAAGATGGGGGAAGATCAAGAAAGGAAGATTGGGAACACAATGGAATTTGTATGGAACGCATGAACAGTAGTGAAATGTCAGACAATGAATTGATGATGGATTGAAGATGTGCAAATTAACGGTTACGATATGGTTTTCCCATTTTACTGAGTAACTCTGTAATTTTCGTTAAATACAATTCGGTTGCCCTCACCTGTGTTCTCCTTCACTACACTACTATCTAAGTGCTCAAACTGAAGTGAGTAGTTTTCTTAGTAAGTCAGTCACTCCCCGAACATTCGACACACAGAAGTATAATCGATAAAGCAATAGAGGAACGTAAGGAGATGTGGTTCCATAATAATTTCGTACACAGTTTGTTACATCAGGACGCTGGGGCACATGTGCATCATTGGTTTGGAATCAGAGTTTTCTAACTCAGCTAAGTAGATATTTCGTATACATTTAACCGGCGTCTAGCGCAGGACGTTGTTTTTACATCCTCTCTAGTTTGTAATCAATGCCCCCCCCGCACCAAGAGAAGGTTAGCGAGTGGAACTTCCCTGGCAGTGGCTATATGAGGGCATTTAGAAAAAGACAGAAAACTCCTTTCATTTTCAGCCGTACCATAGCACATATATATATATATATATATATATATATATATATATATCAGTCAGTCAGTCAGTTGCAACGTCGAACTTCGTACGTAAGTACGTAAGTTCATGTTGCCATACCACATTAGCACACATAGACGCAAATGTCAAATCAAATCACATAGTTATAAAGATAGTAGAGGTATTAATGGTAATGAAGAAGACTATAGTTTGAAGATATTATTCAACAAGTATAATTCAGTGAGATAAGGTTAGAAAGACGAAAGTAGAGGTGCTGACGAATCCAGAAGATTAGGATTTGATAGAGCACAACGAATGAATGCACTTGCACCGTTGCAAACGATTTTCAGACATGTCGTTCAAGGTCTCTTACCATTGGTGACTTTTGTCTCGCGGACCCCAACCAGGTAGTCGACAACTACCAACATGACTCAGCTCACTTGTCAGTGACTTTATGGATTTCTGTCATGTTTTGGTTTGGCCGCCCCTAACTTTCTTCCAACCTATTACTACTAGCTCGTCGAGACAGTCGGTGGTTAGGCATTCTGAAGAATAAATAAGTCCAGGGTAGAACCTGATACATATATAGGCACTATATCACAGCACACCAAAATGAAATACAAGACTAGTACAAATAATAATGGTACTATTTGTAGAAGAAAATCTAGGATTAAAGAATACCATTCACGATTGATCTCATCCGGATCGGTAATACGTTATATCACCAAACATTATTAAATAGTAGACAAGATAATCTCATTGACCTCAACCCATCGTCAGTCTGCTGTGTCTATGAACATAACTCAGTTCAGAACAATTAACAATTTCATAGACTGACAGATCATTTTAACAAGCCACAGAAAAGTAGGATCGACCAAATTATGTTCCACCTTAGTTTTATTAACTCGCTTTTCAAGAATAAACAAATATTTTCGATCAAATAATCGTTAACATTCGTAAAAAAAAATAACTAAAAATACCTCTTACCTAATACAAAAATACCATATCACAACAGCTAGTACAATTAATCCAATAATTATAATATAACCAGAATTATTTTGTGTATGTATATAAACATTTTCAAATACTCTAAAAGAAAAAAAAAATAAAACGAGTAAAATGTATCAGTAAAATTAATTGACAACAACATCATTAGTTTTATTCGTAATGGGATTCTTTTCGTTCACGGCTTATTTTTTCTTGTATTAAACTATACTACTTACTAATATATTCAGTAGACAAACTGAATTCCAATAAATTGGAAGGCCATCAATCAGTGTCATATCTATCTATCCGCGTCACATAAACTGATGACACTGAGTTAATTCATTTATTTACTATGATATTATATTCTAACTAATAGTTAAAACATTTGTTTACAATTTTAGTGTATTTGTTTAACTTGTAACAGTTTACACGGGTGGATACGATGAGGAATTATTTTACATGGGAAATTCCTAGTACATACAAAGTTTGT